AAAAAAAAAAAAAAAAAAAAAAAGAACACACCAAAAACAATAGGGTCTGGTCTGTGAGCAGTCCTCTGCCTGTAGGCTCGGTCCCTAAATATAAATCTAAATGTTAAATCTAAATAATATAAATCTAAATGTTAAATCTAAATAATAAATATAAATCTAAATGTTAAATCTAAATATTCTGGGTGAAACTAAATATTTAGCTAGTATGCAAAATCTGTCTGTCTGTCACCGGCAGTGCGAATTTGCATATTAGCTAAATATTTAGTTTCACCCAGAACATTTAGATTTAACATGTAACATTTAGGTGCTACATTTAATATTTAGATTTAACTATTATATTTCTAAGTTAACAAATATTGCTGTAAAAGGTGATGTTAAAAAATTCACAATACTTTTTTAAACATTGTTTGAAGCTAAATGTGGCAAAATGTTGATGGTATTTTGAGTGTGAGACATTTTACAAACAGCACCCCATACTGATTTGGCTACTTGTGCAGCTGCTGCTAATTCTTGAACTCAGTGGCAGCAGTTTAATTGGCCCTTTTCATGATTAGATCTTGTTTGATCCAAATTTGACCCAAGGTGACACCTTATCAGTCCTATTAATCTGTGTTTAGGTGTTTATGTTAACATACAGCCTTGGTAAGTAGCACTCTTTTCCTCTTACATTTCAATGAATAAATGGCATTTGTCTCAACTATGGGGTGTTTTTAACTGTAATGTATTTACCTTAGCTGCTGCACTTATCCCCATGAATCTCTTCAAGAGAAGAAGTAAGAACCTAGTTACCTGCCAGTATTGAGAGCAGAGTTCTCTATTGGAGACAGGAATCAAGACATGTTAAGTTCCCCCTGATGTTATTACACCTGAATTTACGTGTGTTATTCATTCATTGAGGTTTCTCCAATTTTTCCCTGTTAAAAGGGTTTCCAGGAGTTTTTCCTCAGTCGATGTGAGGGTCTAAGGGCAGAGGATGTTGTTATGATGCTATGTAAAGACCTTTGAGACAAACTGTAAAAATGGGCTATACAAATAAAATTGCCTTGCCATTTCCATACACCAATTTCTGCATGTTGTATAATAACTGTGGATTGTGTCTATGCATATGCTAATTCTTTGGGTTGTTAATAGAATTGTTATATCTTGCTTTTAAACTCCTTCCTTGAGTGATTTTACTGTGACGTTCACCTACTGTTTGAGGTTGCATTGTCTGAGGGTTTTTTGTTGTTTTTTTTTTTTAAAGGTTTTCTCTTACGGGTTTTTAGGGATTGGGTTATTCTCTGTCATATTATGGTAGGCAATATCGTTGTCTTAATTCTTGATCACTGTTGGATGCTGTTACCACTATTATATTATATTATTATGCACTGATTGGCACTTTATCTTGATCGCTCCTTACTGCAGATTAGTTGACACTGCTTTTGTTTGTTTTTCGTTCTTTTTTTAGCCATTCTGTGCATTTCACTTGGACACTGTGCGCTTAACAGTGCCCTGAATTCTTATTATCTACTTCTCAAATTCCTTTTGTCCTTTGTGCCCTGCTTGTGTTTCTTATTTTCCTCCAGGTGAGCCAGGGTTGTAACATAATGGGGGCTCGTCCGTTTTTGATCATTTTCCCCTAGATTTTTGTTGGTTCCTTGGTGTTCCTTTGTTGCTTGATGGAGTGTGTTGGCTGTGTGCGTCTCTCCTTTCTGGTTGGTTTTGGTTTGGTGAGTATGGTTGTCATCTGTAGGCCACACATTTCAGTGCTAGAGCTCCCTGGTTATGTAGAGTGAGTGTTCCAGCTGGACTTTGGTCCTTCCAATGGTTCACTCTTTTGTTGTTTTTTCCTTTTTTGTTTTCGAGGGTATCCTGGGTAGGGGCACGCTCCAAGTTTCTGCAGTTGGCTGTGTTTTGGCTTTCTGTGGAGCTTTGGTTTTTGCGTTTAAAGCTGCCTCAAGCCTGGTAACCTCAGAAGATACTTAAGTTTTAGTCTGGTTAGGCAGGTGTCCAGGGTTGCTCCACTCTGCTCTGTGTTGCACTGGTTTTGTGGTTTGAACTTGACAGCCATGCTCCCTGTTTGTTTGTCTCCCCCTCTGCACTGCCACCCCTAGCTAGCACACCTACCTCTGTGATGCCCTGCCAGTTCAGCACTCCCACTCCCTCCCTCAGCCCATGTTCAGCCTGTGAAATAAAGCACCACCTAATAAAACTTGAGGAGACTGTCACATACCTGCAGGAAAATCTTCCCTCGCACCTGCTGAACTGGTCCCAGTCCATCCGGTCCCCTCCGGCTGGCCATCCCACATCAGCGTCCGCTTCAGCTCCGGCTGGCCCCTCCACTTCAGAGTCTGCTTCAGCTCTGGCTGCTCCTTCATCAGATTCAGATTCTGCTGTGACTGACCCTTCTGCATCAGCATCCGCCTCTGTTCTGGCTAGCCCCTCGCAATCAACTTCACTGTTGGCTTCAGGCAGTCCACGGAAGAAAGGAAAACACTCTGCAGGGACCCCCCAGCTGAAACAAACACTGATTGGTGAGTAAGAATGTCTCTCTCTCTGCCTGCCTCCCCAAATAGGTGCATGTTTTCAGTGGGACTTTGTCTGAAATATTTGCTCTGTATGTGGGTAATGATGGATTTCTTTAAATTAAAAAGCGTGATTGTCACGTGTGCTCTATATCCACATCTACATTAATGTTGGTTGTTTGTACAGGTAAGATCCTCCTCGGATTCCAGAAAGCCTCCCTGGGTTCCAAGTTCAGGCTCAAGGATAGGGAAAATGCTCGTACCAAGAGGGGCCATGCTGAGCGCATTGCCACCTATATGGCAGCAGGCGAGGATGAGATCTTGGGCCTCTGGTACTTGTACAACCCTGAGAAGTTGCAGGCGTGAGTACTCCTACTGTAGCTCATAACACACAAGTATTTTATACATTACAGGGTCCACTCCTTAAAGTTAGTGGTCAGTCTCAAAGTGGGAGAGCATGGCTCTAGACCTGCTCTATTAGTAAAGTATAGTGAGAAAACTTTTGCTGTGGTTTGGAACTGCACTTGCCCATTGCAACAGCTGAGGCTGGTGCATGGCGTGTACATGTTGTTGAAATTGTCCTGTTCTTTCTCCAGGTGGCGAAAGATTTTGCAGGCAGCAGGTTACCGAGTAACCTCCATCAAAGCTATTCTTCTAAATGTGAGGGCTTTTCTCCGACACATGGACATGTTCCATAAGGATGAAAGCCAGCTGACTTCAAGTGAAATCGGGGAGCTGTTGAACCTCATCAAATCTCTCCAGTCTCTCATACTCAAGGAGATGGCAGCCCATCATGAAAAGGAAACAACAAGTAAGTGTTACTATGTTTCAGTGAAGGAACTTCCTTTCAAACCTCTTTTTTTTAAACTGGATGATAATTTCCACCAAACGTTTGTTGTCTGTCTCTCCAGGCACGTCTGAGGCTGCTGCAGAGGAGATGGCTTGGGGGGAATTTGGAGCCGCTTCACCACCAGAGGGACAGGAACACCATCAGGCGGATCAACCGGACGCCGAGGAGGAGGTGGTGGGGAAAAGACGGCTCAAAAAGAGACTTTTCCTAATAGAGTGATGAAGAAGAGACTGAGCATGCAGAGGGAAAGAAGAAGACAAAGTGTGAGGGGCGAGCGGATGAGGGGCAGATGGAGAAGAACTGCACACCAAAGAGAAATGAGGAAGGGCAGCAGGAGGGGCAGCTGGGGCAGGTCCACCAACCACAGGGTGAAGACCATGGGGGCCAGCAGGAGGACAAAGGGAAGGAGGACAAGGATGAAGAAGGATGGATGGACTCGGATGACAGTGAGGTAGAACTTGACAAGCTGTTGATTGAGCTCAAAAGCCAGGGCTCGCAACACTAGTATTTTCCATGCTGGAATAGTGTTCCTATTCATACTGTTGTGTTTGTTGGTGTTGTTGTTTTTGTTGTTTACTGACACTGTTACATAATATACATGTGACAAGAAAAGAAGGGAAAAGGAGAAAAAAGAGCATTGTTTTTATTGAGCTTTTCACATTATAAACAGTATAAGGGAAATGAAGAGTCTTTTGAGTTCATATTGCATGTTATGTTTTATTTTACTTTTTTTTTCGCAGTTCTTCTTTATCATGTTCTTTCATTGTGTCTTAATGTTCCAAAATAGTTGTTTAAATAAAGTTGTTTTGAACTTGGATTTGGAGTTGGGTGATTTTCTTGGAAGCAGGATTATGTGCAGGGGTGGGCTTGGGAGACGTTACTCATAGAGGTGAGCAAAGTAGCATGGCACCTCTTTCTGACCAAGGACATCATTTATTCCAAGTTTGCTGAAACAGAGAAACAAAGAGGTCTTGGTGTCTTGATTTGGTTTTTAGGAAGGTTTTTTGACTATTTTTATAAATTCTCAAGTGGGGGGAAAAAAGTGTAAATTTATCAGTAAATATGTATAACAAATGGTACACACCTCAAATTACTCCAACAAATGAGACATAATTAGGCATGTGGAGGTCCATCATATGGGCATGTTATAATGTTCTGACTTACATTTTCAGTCAACTTTTCAATTTAACTTTTTAATATTTATTACTGATATAAATATGACATGGAAAAACATTACAGATTCCACAACTACCTACCTGCAGTTGATCTCACGTGTGTGATTGAAAAGGTGTTAGTATCAAGTGGAGATGATATTGCTAAGGCCCGTAGCATATGCGCAGCCTCGCTAGTGGGTTTCCACACTCCAGATCAGCAGCAGCAGCACACCACAACGTGGAAGTTTGGATTTGGAAGTGGAAGATGAATGTGGACGCAGTGTATAGGGGGTCTGGTTAGATTTAGGCACAAGAAAGAAGACTTGGTTATGTTAAGGTAACATAAGGGCTTGGGAGATGTTATTCATAAAAGGTAAAGGTGAGTACAGTAGCATGGAACCTGTCTGTCTGACCAAGGACGACATTTATTCCAAGTTTGCTGAAGAAGTTGAGCCTATGTGTGTGTCTCTGGAAAACAGAGTCAGCGGAGACTGCATTAAAACTGTGTTCATCAGATGACAGCAGAGACAGTGAGGGGCCTGACACACTCTAATTGGGTGTGAATGTTGCATTCACAACATATGTTCTTCTACTACCAAAATTCTTTATTTTTCTTATTATTCTTCCGCCGCGTTTTTCAACATCAGTTATCTTCAACATACTTCAACCGATTCAAACCATTCAAACTTCTTCTGATTCTGCTTCATTAGGACATTATCGGAAACTTTCATATTTTTCCATAACTTTTATATTTTCCCGGGAATTCAACGTTAAAATTCCGACTTCTATTAAAGCGGATGGAGTTAAAACTGTTGGACCGCTACTAGTTCTACAAACTTCAACCGATTTAAACTTTTCAAACATGAAAACTTTCAGCTGAATTAGGACATTCACGGATGTATTCACTTTTTTCCTAACATTCATACTTTCCGAGATATTTCCGATTTTTCCCAAATCCTTTTCCCATTGGGAATGCATTACGGAATCCTCAAAAATCTAAAAATTTCACCTTTTTTCAAACTGTGACTACCCATTCATACTTTCAGCTAGAAACTCCATTCAAAATGGAAAATATTCATCATTTTGCTGACATTTTACATATGATTCAACTTTTCAATCCCATTCAAACTTTCAAAAATATTCAGCGTTTTCTGAAACTTTGTTATAATGGAAGTCANCTGTCGGAGTCGGGGGGCCTGGGTGCTGGTCCCCCCTGATGGCACGGCCTGTGGCTCCTCCCAGTGTGGACGGCCCCAAAGGTGGCGTTTCCTTGATCCTCAGTGCCATGCCATGTCTCCCTATTGTGTGTGATTGTGTGTGTGTGTGTGTGTGTGTGTCTAGTATGAAGGGTGGGAGGGTGGGGCTTTCTTTCTTTGTAATTGTTTTTCTTTCTTTAATTGTGTTAATTGCTTTTAATTCTGTAAAGCACTTTGTATTGCATGTCCGTGCAGGAAAAGCGCTCTACAAATAAAGTTGATTGATTGATTGATTGATTGATTGATTGATATTTGCACAGCAGATGTCTTTTGTTTTGTGCTGTTTTTGTCGTCTCATCCTCAAAATAAAGGAAGAGGAATCTGATGGGAGTAAATTAAGTCATCTAATTTGCATATTGTGGCGTCACTAGGCGGCGGCCATATTGGATTTCATAAATCTCAGTAAAACATTCAAATATTCTAATCATTCAAACTTTATTTTATTAAAGTCAGCTATTCTGTGTGGTGTCTGTTTTTCAACAAACTTTCAAACATTCAAATCATTCAAACTTCATTGTATTCAAGACAGCATTGCAGCGTGGCTTCAGCTCGCAGCATTCACACCCGCAATTTCTTCAGAAATTGCTTCTCTAGTTAATAAAATGTAATTGTGTTAAGATTAGGTCCACACAATGATTGAGCTGTGTTGGTGTAGGCATACAGGCAAAACTAGAAGTAACAACAATGATTACTGTCACACTTACAAAGTGTCCAAAGCCTCCAATAAATGATTTTAAAGTTACAATGTGTTACGTGGTTGTTTACTAGCAAATATCAACTACTGCTTTCATAAATATATATTTACTAAAGTGTAATGCAATTCACATACAAGTGGAAGCTTTCTCATAGGCTTAGAATGATGTCTCTATAAATACGTAGGCAGAGAGCATGGATACCAAGAGACGAAGCTCCGTTGAAAACAAACAGTTTTGTGCAATTAACTGCAACAACTATCAGTGGAACACCCCGCACCTGGCCTTCCACCGTTTCCCGAAGGATCCCGACAGGAAAGAACTCCTGAGGTGTAAGAGTTTTTCTTGTAAGTGTTTTAATATCAATTTAATATGCCAGTTTTGGAGGGAAGATAGCACTTAAA